AATCGTACCTGCTCCAGGAAAGTGCTATGCAACGCCCGATAGTCCCTCCCCTTATGAAGTCAATCAACCCTCTATACTCTGAACCTCTGGTTAACTCTCCAAGAACTTGTCATCACGGCTGTCTCTAATCGTTCCAAATCCCATACCAATCTAATACTAAGCACCTGCACTGCTCGATAACATCTCTGGCTCATAGACTGCACCGCAAAATCATCGTTCCTCTCACCTCAACTCATCAACCCCTATCCAACGCCGGATTTGTCCCAAGGACAGGGACTCTCTCACAACATAGACGAAAACTCTCTGCACTGCAAAACTCGACTGAACTCTTCACGGCTACCACTATAACACAACCTATTATTCTCAATTAGGTGTGGTGTGGTTCTCGACTACCTCAGTCCCAACTGACTGTCTGCTCACGGTAAATCACTGCCTCGCGGCACACCCGCTACCTGATGCTCTGAGGGAAGTCATTATCGATAACTACCTGCAGGGTGTACTCCAATCCAAAACTGAAACACCAGACCTCTCGTGTCTTGCACACGAACATAAATGGCACTACCCACCTAGAAGGTGACCTCTCCTCTATCGACTGATTTCTCGACTCAGACCGAAATTTCCTCTCCTTTTAACTCCCTACCACAATACTCTGATAGGTACTCGCCTTTCCCCTCAAGGAACGCCTCTCCATCCTCAATCATGATCTACTGGCCTAAAACCCATAGCGTCCGATCTCTACCTCATCGATCATAACCGGATAACAAGATAGTCACCAGCATCATCCACTACGAACCATGGTACTCATCCCATGACATCCCTTCTCAATTTGCTTCGGTGTATGGTACCTGAACCATAGCATCACTCCTCAATCTGCTCCAATGTATAGCACTCGGACCACAACATCTAACTCAATCTGTTCCGATGTATGGTGCCCGGACCATAACATCACTCCGCAATCTGCTCCGATGTATGGTACTCGAACCATAACATCACTCCTCGTTCCGTTCCTTAGGACCTTCAGAATGCTCCCTGTATCAAGTATGGGTCCTCTGCTTTCAGTAGTACGGGCCCATACTACCTGCCACATCTACCCATACTTTCTACACGGACCATCCCAGAGTTCCTAAGTAGCTGATCAACCTACTCTTTCACCAATCCCATCGCGCGTGCTCGCTCTCCAGCGAAATCCTCTACTCTACCAGCGCACTCATCTGGCTAGGTTTACTCCTTAGTCCCTTCCGCCGTCCCCCCACTTCTTTGCTATCAGCTGCTGAAGAGTTCCTAATGATGCCAGCCATCTACCTCCTGAGTATCGTCATACTCACTTAGTAGCTGACTCCCATCATCGAGAACTCCACAAAGCACGAAGCAAGCAGCATTCGAGCATCGAAGCATACATAGGACTCCCTATCTGTGATAGCTCCACCTTCTCGGCTCATCCTCGGAAGTACTACTGTACTCTGTAGCTCTACCCCTCGTGCGTTCTAACTAGATACCCTCACTCATCACATACACACAAAAGCATAACGCACATATAACAACAAACCCTAGACTAAGGCATCACAAATCAGGCCACTCTAGTCCTAAGATATGAAATACCTAGCCTGTCTCTAGCATGCAATAATATCTCATAAAGTGCATAATAAATATTTCATAACACAAAAGTAAGGGTATTTTGGGAAATCACCGTTTGGCTCTGGCTGATTGTACACACTGCTCTTTCTTGCTTTCTCTTTGAACTCTTATTCACTTTTAGAAAACCATTTATTTGGAAAACTTTTTCTTACTTCCTCAGTTTGAGTCCAGATTTACCCGTAGGCGCGTCCGAATCCCTCAAACCAAGGCTCTGATACCAATTGTAACACCGTGATTTTCAAGACAAAATTTTCATTTAAATAATCAATTTAATATTAAAACACTTGTATAAAATCTTGTTCATATTTGAATTACAAAACATCGTTCCATTTTCATTTGAATAGAAAACCAGGATCCTCCAAAATACAACTCTTTCTTCGGTGTGTACAATCGAACCGTTGCCATTCCGCGTTACTGAGAAAACCTGAAACAACATAACATAAACACTGTAAGCACGAAGCTTAGTGAGTTCCCCAATATACACCTTACGCACATACGCCTTTCCAGGCCCTGACCTTCCGGTCCACTGCACAATGCCTTCCGGCCCATGAGATAATCGCCTTCCGGCCCATAACGTGTTGCCTTCCGGCCCATAGTATATTTGCCTTCCGGCCCATAAGATAATTGCCTTCCGGCCCATAAGGTAATTGCCTTCCGGCCCATAAACATATATAACACATAATACATTTACTCTAACACATAAATCACATATATCATATATCAACCTGCCTTCCGGCCCGAAACATGCACACACATAATACATTTACTCTAATACTTTAAGCACATATATCGCATATCACACCTGACCTTCCTGTCACATAACGTATCGCCTTCCGGCCCGTATAAACATACATAATATGCATAGCATCTACCTTTCTAGTTATAGCATAAATAACATATATCATATACGACCTTCCGGTCTCACAGTCAAACCCTTCGGGTGAAGTATAGTGAGAAAACTCACCTCGCGGATACTGGAAGATAACAACTCCTGAAATCCCTTGCACTTGATCCTCCGAGCTACAAGCTCCCTGTAACATCATATATCTCTTTATTAATACTTCTATCTTCCACGTTAACTGACCCTAAGAAATCACACCGGTCAACTCTGGTCAACGGCCATCTCGACTGGACTCGGCGAGTACCCTGGCGACTCGGCGAGTCTAGTCGTCCTCACAAATTCCTGAATGTTCCCTTCCTACTCGTCGAGTATCCCTCTTGACTCGACGAGGTCCTCGTGGAAGAATCGCGGGGCCACCCCGACTCTACTCGCCGAGTCTGAAGTACAAACTCGGTGAGTCCCAGTGAATCTCCAAGCTACTCGCCGAGTCTGCTCATCCGACTCGGCGAGTCCACGCCATGCAGTCGATCGAACTGCTTCCTGAGATACGTATTTTCCCGAATATACAAACATGGGTCCTTCTGGACCTCTAAGGGTCCTAATACAAGGTTATAAACGTTGAATAACAACACAACAATCCATCTAGACTCCAAATGGGTTCCATAAACCCTAAATCTATATACACATCAATCACAGGAGAGTGTAATCCGAGTTATTACCTGAATGATGTACCTTCCATGTCCCCAAACTTCAGAACTCGAACTCCCTGCAGTTCCTTTAGCTAAAACCCTTCTCCTCCTTACACAACAATTCCTTCAAGGTCACCAATGGCCTTCAAGCTTGCCCTAGCCGCCACAGCCGCCTGGGGTTCTACTCAATCGATCCAAAGACGTGAAATGACGACATAATAACCCTTATATACGACCCAATACGGAACGGCTAGGGTTTCCGCTGAACAGCGTCGACTCGCCGAGTCTATATCTGGACTCGTCGAGTCCAGTCGCGAACCCGCGACCAAATCCGTGCTCCTACTCGGCGAGTCAAGCTCCAACTCGCCGAGTCCCCCCTTTAAAACACCCCAAAATGTGTAATAATAATACTTCGAGATTTCGGGCTGTTACAGTGGTAAAGAAATAAGCCCTACACCATGAAGATGGTTTCCTAGTCATGAGATGATCATAAGTAGTATAACTAATTTCCTTGATGTTTTCCATGTTAAAATTGAAACCCCTTTATGTTGTAGATTTTGCAGTTGTTCAAAACATGTTTTTATACTCCACACCACTATAAACTTTTCTAAAATTGGCATAAATAGGCATGACACATTGCTTGTGGTTAACATAGGGTAGAATATCCTTACAAGCTTTAAGAAGACCCTAACTCATGAAAAGTTAATTATCAAGTAATAAAAATCTATTGTAGTTAATTACCAAGTAAACAAAGTATTGCACTTTACCTTGTGTTGATCACTGATTACATACATACCCCTTCCGCCCCACAATCTGAGATCACCGTTAACCAATTCTAGGAACCATTTACAATTATTATTGTTCTCTACTTCAATGATTGCCCAAGATACATGATACACCTGATTGTTTGCATCCATACCTATTGCAGTTAACATCCCACCCTTGTATTGTCCCTTAAAAAAAAGAACCATCCAATCCTATTACCCTATGACATCCCCTTTTCCACCCTTCTATGATTGCATTAAAGCAAATGTAGATCCTATGAAATGTTATAGCTTTACCAGGGTTTACATTAACATAAATCCTAAATGTACTGTTTGGATTGACTCTCATCAATTTATGTTTATAATCCCAAACTCTTGCATAATGGTCACTCAGTTTACCGTTAATTAATGGCAATGCCCTCATCCTTGATCTATAGCATTTTAACCATGATATTTGGCAATGAAATTTACTTTGTATTTTAACTTGCATCTCTTTGCATTTCAAGTTAGGTTTCTTGATCAACTCATTCACAAATTGTCAAACCAGGTAGGATTCATAAGCTTTGAATTGTTAAAATTCCTAACATATGTATGTAGGTCTACAATCTTTTTTACTTGGAATGACCTTTTAGTACTCATCTAAGAAGCACTAACCATGAATGGGCACTTCTCCTGATTACCACCACATACTGCTACTAGTCTAACACTATCACATTTTTTGAAACAAATTTGATAACACTTACTAATGGAATAGTTGGTTAAACACAATTTTAGTTCATATGGGGATTCATACCTTTAAGCAAGCACTGGTTTTATTAAGTTCCATTTCGGCCTTTGGGTTGTGGGTGAAATACTCGAAATCATCTTCATTGCCTTCTAGATAGTCTTTGTCGAGTTTTTATTTGTGTTGAGGTTCCATTTCACGTGTGGGTTCTGTGCCATCATTTGCATCATCTTTTTTTTCAACAAAGAATATTGAGAAATTCATCTTTGCATCGAGAAATCAGTTTCCTTTTAAAATACTCATCCAACTCCACATCAATGGTATCCAAATAATGGATCTCATCCAAGATGTCACGTGTGTTTACGTCTTCAATAAGGGTAAAAACCCCTAATTTACTAAGAAGGGTGAAATGAGAAATGTAGTTTTAAGGGAGGGGGAGGGAGAGTGAGTAAGGGTGAAACGAGAGATCAGTATGATTATGATTCCACATACGCTATTTAAGGCCACATAAATAAGGGTTACCTGTTTTTTGAGGGTCATCGGAAGAAAAAGGCTGAATTGTTCAATTTATCTAGTGTCTTGGTTTTTTTTGTTAAAAAAAATAAATAATAAAAAAAATAAAACTAAAACATAAAATTTTTCAAAATATTATGATATTTCTAAAGATTTTCCATAAAACATCCAAGTCGTCTAAAAACCATAAAATACCCGCTTGAAACTTCCAAGCATACATCATTAAGCCTTAATCTATTAAAAAAAAATCAAAATTGTAGCGCTTGAAGAGAAATGTTCTTGCCCACACTAATAATAAATTCCAATAAATTCAGCTGCCCTGTGTCACCTTCCTAGCACTTTCCCTAATCTCCACCCGCCAAAACACCCTTCATTTACTATTATGAATATCGAAGATGATTACGATGTCTACATTAAATCCAAAGTTTCATTTTCCATGACCCCATCAATGACTTCGTCGTTAACTTCTATTCTACTCTTGGTCAATCACCACACATGACACATCCAGATTGATTTTAAATCCACGCTCTGTGTAAGTCTAGAGAGAGAAACAGCATATTCATCGAACGATATTTCTGTAAATACATTCATCGAATCGGTAAGTATGTGTTTCAAGCTTCTGGTTTCTAAATTAGCTTGTTTTTGAAGTCAAAAAAGTATTTCTGAAGTATATTATGGGTGATTGTGTGCGCTTGCAGACTTGCAGTTGTAGTTGTGGTACTTAACGCGTTTTCCGACTTTTATTTATTTTTATGGGCTGATTCGGTCCATATTAGTTCACGAACAACTGTAATTTGATTTGATTTGATTTTTCTAAGTTTATCTTCTACCTCCTCTGTATTTATTTCAAATCGATTGCACAATTCCGAGGTTTGGTTTTTTGATTTATTTGAGTGATTTTCCATTTGCTCCAGCAGCGCTGTATTATTCCGAGTCAACTCAGTTGGTGGATCGGAGGTTTCGTGAATCGCTTCTCGTCTATGGTTGTTGTATTGTTGTTGATTTCTTGATTAATCCACGTTGATTTCGCGGCCGTGAAGAATCGAAGGGTTTCACCTTCGTGTTTGTAAATACATGATGGAGCATTTTAGATTAGAGAGGCATCGATTGCTGACTTTGACGTTAATCATCTGTTTACAGTTTCAGAATTTGAATTCCTGCTTCTCTCTCAATGATGAAGGTATTACAATCTAGCTACGATCATTGTGGTTCATAATTTGGCTTAAATTGAAACAAACTGCTAGCATTCCCACTTTTCTAGCCTCATCAAAAGGATACTAGTTCGTTCAAATTATACTTTAATTTTCAATTCCTGTTCATATTTTTAACACAAGCTGATCATATCTATGTTTACTTTTCTGATTGCAGGTTTTTCTTTACTTAGATTTAGAGATAGAGTGATAAATGATCCATCTGGGGCTTTGACAAATTGGAATGATGATCTTGGGGTGACGAATCCATGTTCCTGGTTTGGTGTAGGCTGCTTCAACGGACATGTTATCTCTTTGTAAGTCGTTCGTCTATATTTAAACGTGTTCCAATTTTCCAATATCTGCATCGTTGCAGAAATGTCTTTATGGTTATGATATAGCTTCTGAAGGATTCAGATTATTTTTTGAACTTTATTTAATTATATTAACAGGAACCTTATAAATCTTCGTCTTCGAGGAACACTTGCTCCTGATCTTGGAAATCTATCTCGCCTAAAGTCCATGTATGAACAAAATTAAACATCCCTTCCACTTAATTAATGTTTTCATGAATAAGTTTCTGAAAATCTTCATTTATGCAGAATTCTCCGTAATAACTCATTCTATGGTACCATTCCTGAAAAGATCAAAAAAATGAAAGAGTTATTGGTGATGGATCTTCGGTACAATAATTTCTCTGTAACACTTCCATCTGATCTTGGGAACAGTAAATCACCAACGATTATGTAAGCCGAATCAACGTTTACCTTATTATTCATGATTCCAACTCATTTCCATCATCCTCAATCAACTCTTTCTCAAACAACTGTAGATTACTAGACAACAACAAGCTTCTCGATGACAATTCTCCTGATCTTCAACAAGAAGTTAAATCCCACCGGAAACTGCTACAAGACGAAAATATACCTGTTCCGGCACAGCCACTTCCACCTTTTCGATTTCCATTTCTGTCATCGCCACCACCATCACCATCTCCATCTCCATTCCCATCCCCTTTGCCATCACCAGTGACGTCACCATCGTCGTCTCCTTCTCCTGCGCCCTCAACCGTACCAAATCAAACCCTTTCTCCCGCCCCTTCCACAAGCTCCGGGATTCCACCTTCCCTCCCTTCTCCAACTTCCCGAAGAAAAAATTCACACTCGAACAGTCGTTCCATAATAATAATATCTGCTGCTATCGGAGGCTCTGCTTTTATCGGCATCGTGGCTCTAATGTTATGGCGAGGTAATAAAGTAGCCACCGTGAGGCCCTGGGCCACAGGACTAAGTGGGCAATTGCAGAAAGCATTCGTCACTGGTAAAATCCCAAAATTTCTCTTCTCATATCGACCTTAATCACATGTATTTTACTAAACTTGCCTAAACAACTTAACAAAACCAGGTGTACCAAAGCTAAAAAGATCCGAGCTTGAAGCAGCTTGTGAAGATTTCAGCAATGTAATCGGATCAACTTCAACTGGGACTATATACAAAGGAACATTATCCAGTGGGGTTGAAATCGCTGTTGCTTCTGTTGCTCCACCTTCCGTTAAAGACTGGTCAAAACACCTCGAAAGCCAGTTCAGAAAGAGGGTAATTTTTGTACAATTTTTTTTTTTGTCGATCATTAATTTCTTAGCTTCTAATCTTTTTTTTGCATAAATAATCTCAGATTGACATGCTATCGAAGGTGAACCACAAGAATTTTGTCAACCTTCTTGGTTATTGTGAAGAAGACACACCTTTCACCAGAATGGTCGCATTCGAATACGCACCCAATGGAACACTCTTTGAACATTTACATAGTGAGTGGAGAAAAAAATTAGGTTGTTATTTATTGTATTTATGAATTTATCCCATGAACTTACACACAAGTTTTGACATTTTCAGTACAAGAAGCGGAGCATTTAGATTGGGGGAATGAGGATGAGAATCGCAATGGGAATGGCGTATTGCCTTGATTATATGCACCAATTAACGCCACCTGTCGCCCACAAAAACCTAAACTCATCATCTGTAAACTTAACCGAAGACTACGCAGCTAAAATATCCGATTTCGGTCTATGCAATGATTCATCAATGGCAAACACAGAACCAACTCCGGAAAGTAATGTTTACAGCTTTGGAATTATATTGTTCGAGATGACTACGGGTAGAATTCCTTATGCCGGAGGTGACACGATCGATGACTGGGCCTTAGACTTTTTAAGAGGGGAAAATCCGATGACGGAATTGGCAGATCCGACTTTGGATTCCTTTGACGCGGATCAACTTGAAGCATTTGGTAAAGTGATAAGATCTTGTGTTGATTCCGACCTTAAAAGGAGGCCGGAAATGAGAGAAGTTACTTCTAGACTAAAAGAGATAACGAGAATAGCACAAGACGGAGCAACACCGAAAATTTCCCCTCTTTGGTGGGCCGAACTTGAGATACTGTCGACTGAAGCCACGTAAAGACAGTAAGGCTGTATTTGTTACACAGGACATGATAGAACTGGATAGGTGTTTTGTCCCACCTTTTTTGGGTGAGACATCATTGAGTCATTGACATTGTGTCTCATCCTACCTTTTTTGGTGAGATAAGAAATTACAGTTTTGTTTCATTGGCATCACTGTTACTTGGTCCTTGGTCAATGAAGTACACACTCTGCAGTTGAGTCATGTCTTGTGTAATAAATGAGGCCTAAGCATGTACTTGTTTTTTGTTTTGTAAACCGAATGAACTAAGAACATATACATATATAAATCTCTATATATGGTAGATGTACATAGATAGAAGAAAGAGGCTGTTGTTGGGAGAGTTTGATGTGTGTGAGTTTAGGAGAAAAAAAAAGGAGCATCTCCTACAGTAATTTCATTCTTTAAGACTCAGGTATATTCTACCTTCTTTCAATTTCCTTGTACCACTGTTAACATGTTCACCAATGCTTGTTTTTATTTCTGTGTGCGAAATTTCATAGAATTCCTGTTGGTAATTAATTTTCTAACATACATAATTTTCTGTAAGCAATAGATGCATAGCATTATTTTTGTGAAGCTAGTTTTTTTATTATAGAACGTGGTAGTTGCGTAAGACGTTTACCAAACATAATAATTTTAAAGATATTGATAAGTTCAAAAATTATGAAGTTGAAAATTATTATTATTAGTATTATATTGTGATTAGTGGTAGTCGTTTTCTTATTTTTAAAGGTGTGGTAATCGGCGGCCGGCCCGTGGGTTGTATGGTCGTATTTTGGCTACCACGTAAAATCCAGCGGAAAGCACAATATTTTTGAAGACTTTTGCGACGAACAAGTCGCATGTCTATTTATTATCTTGTATATTTATGTGATGTGTCACAACTCAATAGGGGAAAAAGTCTGTCTTCTTTTGTTTTTCAATGGGTTGTGGTTGTCGTTATTTATTTGATATTTTTATCATTAAAAAGCATTACGATGTAATTTTCATTTCTTGATTTTGGTCACACAATAAACAATGGAAATGCTTAAGTTATCAATCAAAACGAGTTTGGATAATTATCTATTTATTTTAGAATATATTGCAAACGTATCGGGTTGGATTGAGTTTATCTAATTTTATCTACTTTATGACTTTTTTTAATAATTGATCTGTTATTGATTAAAACAAAGACGATTATTGCATCAATGATTTCTTATACTAGTCGGGTAAAACCAATTTTTAAAAAACCGACTTTTTAGTTGAACTGGTGATTGGTTTTTAGTGTTTTACATTAAAATAACACATAACAATATGTTTTAGTGTTTTATATTAATGCATCTATGTCAAAAAGAAAATGGAAATTAAAATATCGTTTTAAATGAAAAAAACACATCAAAAAACTTTATAACATTTACTATATGTTTTTATTTAGAGAAAACTATATAGATTTAACAAAAATCACCAATATTTATTACGCAAATAGTTTTTTTCATATGTTTTTATTCGGTTCAACCGGTTTATTTTGACCAGTTAAACTGAGTTTTTCTAAGACCGTTTCAATCCAGTTCAGAAATCGACGTAAAACCGGTAATACTTGAACCACTCTCTTCCCCGGTTTCCGATCCAACCGGTTCAACCGGCCGATTCAAATCGGGTTTAAGACATTGGGTGAAGCCAATGTGAGACCACTCTAACTAGGAGAGATTTTGCCTCTTAGATTAAAATTCTCAAGTTCTAATACAACCGTCGGTGAATTATTTAACTTGATGAAACTAACTTTTAATCATTAATCAACCATTGAAAATATGATTGACGGGTTAAAAGGTACGATAATATTGACGGGTTAAAATGTATGATAATATTGAACCTTTCAGTTTTCTTCGGTACCTTCTCCGACCTAATAAAATGGTAGTATTTTACCTTTTCTTCTTTTTCTTTATTTTATATATATATATATATATATATATATATATATATATATATATATATATATATATATATATATATATATATATATATATTTTAAGTTAAATAAAAGTACTTATTTTTAACTTTTTGTTATTTTAACTTAATTTAAAATGTTGTAATTTTATAAGTTGAAAAAAGAGTAAATTACACGAATGGTCCCTATGGTTTAGGGTAATTTGCGCGTTTGGTCCCTAACTTATTTTTTTAACTCGGAAGGTCCCTAGTGTTTGTTTTTGTTACGCGTTTGGTCCCTGTCTTACATAAAAAGTCTATTTTTCTTTATTTTTTAATTTATTTAAATAAACACACCCCTAATCTCACCCTTCTCACCTTACCTTACGTACCGCATCATTTTTTTCCTATTTAAATAATAGTCTTTTTAGGTATGACAGGGACCAAGCACGTAACAAAAACAAACAATAGGGACCAAACACGTAATAAAAACAATCAGTAGGGACCTTCCGAGTTAAAAAATAAGTTAGGGATCAAACGCACAAATTACCCCAAACCATAGGGACCATTCATGTAATTTACTCTTGAAAAAAATTATAAAAATATAACTAAACATAAAATTAAGAAGGTGCAATGGAAGGCATGCACTTCATGCTTCAAGAAAAATATATTGTATCTCATTTTCTGAAATAAAATCAAAACGACACGGTAGAGAAATGGAAATTCCAAATGTGCTTTGGTCTTAAAGTAAACTTGCATATATCAAGATTTTTGGAACCTTTCCTTTCACTTACCTTGGGGTTACTGTACGTGATAATATGACCCTAAAAAAGCACCGGGGGCGAGTGTTGAATGTTTTTTAGCTAGACTATCGGATTGGAAAGCAAAGACATTGTTATTCGGTGGTAGACTTACTTTAGTAAAATTCGTTCTTAATAGTCGCCAACCTAATACTTCTCGCTGTTCAAAGCCCCGAACGGTACCATTGAAGAATTAAAAAAATCGAGGCAAACATTTATATGGAGAGATGATGATTTAAAAGCAAAAATTCATTGGGTATCATGGTCAAGGATAATTTCAGCAAAGAAAAACGGAGGAATCAGGGTTCGTTTTCTAAAAGCTCAAAACTAGCCTTACTCGCCAAATGGTGGTGGAGGTTAAAGGTTGATATTGGGAATTTATGGAAAGACAACATTGTTAGTATACATAATTTGAGACGGAAACCAGTTGGTTACATTACAAAGAAAACAATACCAGGAGTATGGTGCAACATTTCGAAAGCCACACGATGCTTAGAACAACTTCAGGTTGATCAAAATATTATCTTCTCTTTAATCCCATGTTCTAATATTAATATTTCGTTTTGAAAAGATAAATGATATGAAAATTTCACTCTACAAAATTGTTTTCCCCGTTTATATAATGTGGAATCTGTTAAAAGTTGATTTGTTAGTGAAAGGTTCTCCAATTCTACTTTCACATGGAGATGGAAAACACACTTTTAGAATATAGAGGCTCTTCAAGAATTATCAGACCTATGCTCTATCATCATGACTATAGATATGGCAACATCAATGGTGGGTTTTCGATTCAATCTTAATAGCATGTATACGATGGGTACCTTAAGAAGAATGATTGATTCCAGTTTGGTCACACCAAACATCATAATGATTTGTAACTTAAAATAAATTCCCATAAAGGTTAGATGTTTTGTTTGAAGAGTTATACAAGGGAGACTACCGGTGGCAAGCAATCTCATGTATAGGGGTATTATTTTCTAATCCAAATTATGTCCTCTATGTGGGAGAATTTCAGAATCTGAAGATCCTCTGTTGGTTAGCTGCAAGATGACGCAAGAGGCTTGGGGTTGAATTTTTAAATGGTGTAAAATCTCATTGAACAAATTCTCATCCGTGTTCGAAGTCATGGATTTTGCAGCTTCTTGGGGAAATTGCCCAATAAAAAGGATATGTAACATCCATGAAATTCATAAAAAATTAAAAAAATTTCAAGCATTCAAAAACCATTACTTATTACAAAATGTTTTCAAAATAGTTTCATATCAGAGAATCCCAGAAATCAAAATCATAAATGTGAGGAGGTGCACGATCAATCATTCGCCTTCTCGCGATCATCCGAAGTACCTGAAACAAAATCCAAAACTGTAAGTCCAAAGCTTAGTGAGTTCCCCCAAAATACCAACGCCATACAAACAAAGCAATATCATATTAAACATCATGTATATAAAGTCTTTAGTATGACTAGATCACCCTCTTCGGACCTTCAGTCTATCTGGCCCACTCTTAGAACCTTCGACATGTCTGGTCCACCCTCCTGAGCCTTCAACCTGTATGGACCATTCTCCGGGCCTTCGACCTGATTGGTACGACCCGATTGGCCTTCAGTCTATCTGGATTGCCCTGGGTTTTTTGGCCAAGAGCACAAAGCATGACTGCCTTAACCTACCCGCCATCATACAATCAACACATAAATATCATACGCTAGCCAGCATGTACAGACAGTTATATAGATCTACAGATCACTAATCATAGCATCATCCTATATACCAGGATATCGATCTAACAAATCACTAAACATAGCATCATCCTATATACAAGAATACCAATCTAACAGATCACTAAACATAACATCATCCTATAACCATGATACAATCCAAAAGGGTCGACATTGGTCCCTGCGACCCTGTTAGTATAGTGAGGAAAACTCACCTTACAAGTAGTGCTCAACTGTATTGAAAGTATCCGACCGTCGTCTCACCGAAAATCCCAAACTATACGAAATAACGAATACTAAGTCAACAATTGGAATATCAATCTTGACCAAGGGTCCAACCTAGGGTAATAGCCAATTTTGCCTTTCTTTAATTTGGGCCAAGGCCCAATTCCAAATCCACGATCCATAAGGACGAAATACACAAGGCCTATTATTGGCCCAACTTTCAAAATTGGGCCAACTCTCTAATTAGGCCTCATCCTAAGATCTATTTCCATATTAGGCCCAAAATACATTTATTCAGAAAGTCTATCAAAGGCCCAAACCATAATGACCCAAAGGTGGCCCAATCCGGAACCCAAATCGCAAAAGCCCATCAGAGGATGTACGTTGGACGTACTCCGCCTTGCGTTGACCACCATTGGGGTGGTTGAATCAGTACGCTAGGAGTACCATGGCTTACACGGGGCGTACGCCATTGGAAATTTCTTTGTTTGGCAATTTCTTTGTAATATGCCACATACAAAACCTATGTGATGACACTGGAAAAACTTCATTTACAACTTTGTTTAAAGCTGAATCTTGATCTGTGAGAGCAAGCGTAGGTTTTTTTTGAATGCTTTCAAGAATGCTCTAAGCAACCAAGAATAAGAACTACCATATTCTCTACTCAAAAGTCCAACACCAAAAGTTACACATTTCTTATGGTTATCTATCTCAATTAAAGGTACGGAAACCATATCATATTTGTTTTAAAAAAATTAAAATTGGTTAACATTATTGGAAGTAATATAAAAAATTGTGATAACATTACAAATTTAAAATATACTTACATGTTGAATGTGGCATCAAGGGATATAACGTCTCCAAAAGCATTGTAGTTATACTTTGCGGTTTCATCAATCCAAAAAAGCGCATTCAACTTTTTCCACACAACTTTAAACTCGAAAGAAAAAGTTAGGATATTCTTTCCCTTTCCGGCATCTTGACTACAAGGAATTTTGCATCCCTGGAACCTATGTAAGAATTGAGATTTCTCGTACTGTTCTAGAAATTGGAAACCAAACCACCTCGAACGTCAGATCCACCTTGAAGTCTGGTATACAATCTATATGCTCTTGAGGCACCAATATTTTTCTTTGACAAGTTGTGAGTAAACATATCCTAAGAATAATCAAGTTTCCTCTTTGTACGAGACAAAAACATGTTGTACTTACCAAACAACTCATGAGTATGTTGTTCGATAAAATCATCAACAATATATTTATTAGTATCATGTAATAGAATAAAAACAGTTTTCGCTTTGCATTCGCACCTAAATGAGTATTTCCTTCTTTGAATCTTATTATGTTAAGGGTCTAAAGTATCCACTTTAGCAGTTCTTGGTTTACCTTCTCAATTGCATAGCAAATTTCGTTGTGTGATAATGTTGGATCTGGTTGTTCTAATTGTTCCAAGCCTGACATCAAAACCTGCTTCTGATGTATAATTTTTATACATTGATAATGTTGCACCATATGAGTCAACTGTTGAGTTTATTTTAGGTTTGATGTGGTCTGAAACAACAAGAATCCAATAAGGTGAGCCACCAGGAGTAACATAATCATGTGTAATATGTGATTCTTCTGCATAAAAAAACATTAAATTATATATCACATAATACATACAAAGTGAAACAAATGAATGTCGTCGATGTGAAAATTGCAAACAATCGCAACAAATTAATCTAGTTTTCTAAAATATTTTGTTGTTGGTGTACTAACCTTTCTGTAAATCAATATTATCATCGACTATAGTATAATCTGTCTCATCATCAATGAACTCGTTTTCGTTTTCTGCATCTTTTAAATAGAATTAGTGTAATGGATAATTAGATATATAAAAAAAATTACAATACATCACCTTGGTTATGCTTACTACTTTCACCGAAATGATTGTCGGAATTGACATCAATATGATTTTGAATGTGTTCTAATGGATCCTCAACTTTATAAGTTCAAGTTTCGCCATAATGCAAATAGCAATATACAAGTTCAAACTTGTTGTTATAAAAATTAAAAAGTAAATAAACATATAAAGATAAATGACCTAGATTTAGATTGCTATTCTTGCCTATTTCAAAATTGATATTATGTAGAGAATCATAATTAGCTAACCCGAAATCTTCATCATCGTCAGCATAATCAATAGGATATTCATGTTGATCATGAATATGATCACCACCAGTTGATATTTTAGTATCCATAAGATAATTTACAGCATGATTTAACACTGGATTGGAGAAAGCAGTGTAAATTGAATCTTCTAAACTTTGAGCCAGTTAAGTAAATATTAAAAAAAAGGGGAAACCGTATGATTGATATGTATCTAAAAAGACGTGATATCTGCAATCATTGTTATTCCGAAGATAGTATTTTCGATAGATAAGACTTTACAAAAGATCATCTTTTGTAGATAAGAATTTTCAATGTGTTAAGGTGTAAAGCAGAGATGGTATCGTGATTAGGGTTTGCAGAGAGAAGGGAAGAAGAGAACAAAGGGGATCTTGAAGCGGGGTATTAAAAAATTTAAGAATTTTGAGGGGATTTCATTTCCCCTTTTCAAGAACACACATTTTAGTAAAAATCATAATGTGACATTTACAGAGGACACACATTTTAGATAAAGTGTCCTCCGTATTTTTTTTACATGAGACACTAATTTAAGGGCGGGCAATAATGCGTGACCTAAATTCTTAAATTTTTTGAAAAGACGACACTTTTTTAATGTCACTTTCTTTTGCGTAACATAAATCAATGAGTGTCGTGGTTTGCGCGTCGTAAAAGGGTCTTTTTCTTGTAGTGGTAGGAATTTACATATGATTACTGATTAATTATGGCATAAACGCAAATATTAAGAAGACAATGAAGATACAACTCTCTTATTCTGTCAGAATAACTGAAACAAGAATAACATTAAATGCTATCTTTCAAGGACGGTGTTGCATAGAAACATAAAAGTTTGTTTAGTTTAATGGTTTATTAAATTGTGTATTTGTTTGTTCTGGATATTGTAATAGACACAAGCATTCTGCAAATTATAATACGAACAATTCTAAAAGAATCTTTTCATAACAAATACATATAATACAATTAGGCACAATTATGCTATACGAATATAAAAACAAAATACATTTGAAACAAAAAATTTGTCAGGCGATGATAAATAAGAAATTGTATCAAAATAAATCAACATCAAAGTTGTTTCACTTGCATATGATCATCCAGTAAGACAACTATAAACGATAAACTCATATACAAACTACATGATAGTTACTCAATTGATTATAAAAATATATAACGAATATGCTAATGAACAAACAATAATATATATATATATATATATATATATATATATATATATATATATATATATATATATATATATATATCAAAACATTATATATTATTAATATTTATTAAATGAAAACATAAACTTACAAGGAAAACCCCCTAAAATTCATGAATCCATATCATTATTATACTGAAATAAAACTCCATAAAAGTTGATACGCTTAAATTGAAAACATTATTGAACTTCTTATCTTTCTTGACGAATTGAACTTCTACTCTCTCTTGATCAATGCATGAGGACAGTTCCTCCTATCATGACCAACTTCAAAACAAATCACACATCTTCTTTTTTTGACTTCAAATCTTGATTTACTTTGGATTCCTTGATATTCCGTACATTGTTATCAGAAAAGTCATTGTTATTGTTATCAGCATTATCTTTGTTCTGAAAATAAAAACAAATATAATTAAAACAATGAAATTCATCAACAAGATCCATGAAACGAAAAATAAATAAAGATGTAGTATATGAAAAAGATAAAGATGAAGAAAAGAAATACCTCTATTAACGAAATATCAAAAGAAGAAACATGATATGAAGATGATGAATGATTACTCTGCAATATAATAAAACGAATATGATAATATTTGTAAATACTAGGCTGATATTTAGGAACTTGATTTAAATCCTTAACATTTTTAATTAATCCGGAAAATATTAATTATATGGTAAGATTACACTAATACCCTTTAAGAATGATTGGTTGCTATTAAATCCTACAACCATACAAAAAAAAAATTTGAACGAAAGGTTAGTTGTTAGATGTTAAATTCACCAAGTTAGTAAATTCGTCTATGTCTGGATTTGAACCCAAGACCTCCTGTCTAAAAGGCTTCCACCTCTACCAAGTGGGCTAGCCCCACATTAGTACCATACAATAATTACTTTGAATACTTGAACAAATATATATATATATATATATATATATATATATATATGTATATATCTGTATATATATATGTATATATATGTATATATATATATATATATATATATATACACACGTGAGATATTCGGAACTTGAATTAACTAAAAAAAATAAAAAAAATCCTATTTTTTTTTAAAATACTTGAAATATTTTAAATAGAATATTATACTGTACATACTCTAAAAATAATTTTAAAATGCAAAATAAATGGAAAAATCAAAAAATTCTTTTTTTAAATATTATTTTCGGAACTTGAATTAATAAAAAAAATTTTAAAAATTTAAAAAAATAAAAAAATGCGTCTTACGGTCTTACAAAATTAGGTCGTCTTACATTAACCTAACCCTATATATATATATATATATATATATATATATATATATATATATATATATATATATATATATATATATATATATATATATATATATATATATATATATATATATATATATAAGGGGTCTTGTAATGATTTTGCGTTTGAATTTCCAGTTGTTACTTCAAAATTTATTGATGTTTCTTTTTATTATTATTATTATATGATATGATATAAATATTTAAATTTCATTATTACGTTCATATTATTGTTAAATTCAAATCTTAATTTTTTTTTTTTCATACAAATTTTTTTCCAATTCTTGTTATGTAATAAACAAAAACCTAGACGTCTTTTCAACACTTTAATCTAATGAAAACATGGTAGCTAAAAAAACACGGTTTTATTGCAAGATTAATCATCAAAAAAGTCGGCAACTTAAACTAATTTTCAATTTCAGCAAATTCCCAAAGATAATTCAACACACTGTTCGATTGAACATTATGAAAATATCAATTCACACAAAAAATTCGCAAAATCATATCATACAATCTCAAAAAATATTAAATAACTATTTGGTTGCTCAAGAAAGAACAAAAACATTCCACATTTGAAGAATCAAAATATACAAATTTTGAGTTAAAATTCCTTTAAATAAAGGGAAAATACAGGCAATAGCAAAAAAATGGGGGTATTATCAAAATTTACACATGAAAATGGACATTCTTGGTATAGACATGCATTCTGCGGAATCTATTGTACCTCTGTGGAATGACAAAATCGTAAATAAATTAGTGTATTAAAAAAAAAAACTCAAGATCCATTCCGCGGAGCTACAGTGGATTCCTCACCTCCTTCAAAGCTGGTTGATCTTGATATCTCACAAAACCTGTTCGTCGGAAGGCAGCATCGGAGACATTGATTTATAAAAGGGAAATAAAGGGATTTAGGTTTACCTATGGAAAATTGATTTCGTAACTGATACTAATTTGCTTAGAAGGGAATACTGATATTACAAAATCTCCTTTTGACACATGAACATGTTAAGTAAGAAATGGTGCTAGTTTCTCAAAATTTCTGGCATTGGAATCCATAGCAACCGCAATCCCAACTTACTTGATAGCTTCTACCCATTCCCTTGCTGATCCATCGAGAATGGGAACCTGTAATTGCATATGAAACCTATCAATCTAACTAAAGATTTCTATAACGTCAAGATAAACACACATACACACACAAATACCACACAATCGAAGATTTGGTTATGAGTTTACAAACCCAGAAATTTGCAGAAAATCAAAGAGAAAGAAATATGTAGAAAATCTAACCTTAACGTATACATCATGTACATCCTTTCAAGATCCAGTCTTATATTCATGATGTTTTCAAGAAAACCCGTATGTTTGCAGCAGATGCACAATCTCACTGATACTTTCTCCTCCGATTAGGGCTTGAAACGATTTCGACTTCATAACTTTGGGTTGTGTTATATCTGACTTGGGTTTTAACCTAACACAAAATACAAAAGAAGGAGAATGTAGAAGTGACATTTGAAATGAGGAGTTAGAAAGTGAAGGAGGAGATGAACGCGAATGAACCACAGTAGACACGAAGGAAACAGGAATGAAATCAAACATTGATGACTGGTCGTGAAGAGGATGAAGCGACGAGGGGTGTGGTTCGACGGTGGATGGTGATTCGCGAAGGGAAGGGAAGAACGCTCGCAGGCGGCTAATCGCGCTGCTCCTGGGTCGATTGATAGTGACGAGGGAGATCGTCGGTGGGTATAATGTGGTCGTCGACCATGGAACAGGTGAGGGAACGGGATGGGTAGGGTAGAAAGGAATGAATGCAGAAGGGAAGAAAGAAAGAGAGAGAGAGAGAGAGAGAGAGAGAGAGAGAGAGAGAGAGACAGACAGACAGACAGACACACAGACACACAGACAGACAAACAGAGAGAGAGAGAGAGAGAGAGAGAGAGAGATAGAGAGAGATGTATTTTTTAATTTCTATAATAAAAATATTCAAAAAAGAAAATACAAAGGATAAATTTAGGGGAAAATCCATCATTATAAAAAAATTAAAACTAAACTGGAACAAAATCGCAACAAGATGAAAAGTTTGGACCTCTGGTACTAGTCCAAACTTTTTTGAAGCAAAGTGACAATTTTCAGCTAATCGCAGAGATCATTTATGCAGTTTAGTCAAGTATTATTTACCTCTTTAATTGCTCATAACTACTTCTTTACTCGTGGAATGAAGATTGTTTCACATTTTAGAAATGAAAGTAAATATATTTTTTCTTTAAAAGTCATTAAAAGAAAAACTATTATTTAGCTTTTTAGTTACTCACTCAAAAACATTAAATAACATTAAATATAAATAGATAGATTAAATAGTCTAGTCCACAATTAATGTGCAAAAATGGATTAATGACACACTAGAAGGTAATGTGGTTTTTTTTTCTAATTCTATTATTTTTAAAAGGAGAAACATATAAATGGTTCATGTGCGTTCCTAAAATCTGAAGTTTAGTCATTATGGTTTAAAAACATCATAAATGGTCCATGTGCTTTCAAAACCTTCAACGATTGGTCATTATTGTTAA